ATATGATGGAGCTTCTTTCTTCTTGGATTTCACTCCCTGGTATGAAAAGACACATATATTAAAACATTAAATTAAGAATTCAAATGAAATTGAAAAAAGCAATGTATCCCATAGCTCTCTGCATGGTAGATAAGGAATAGAATCTATACAATAAAGCAGAAAATAAAAAGGTCACCTTTGATTCATGAATTAAAGTTTCTTTTTCCTTGCTTTCCACTCTCTGTTTGAAAAAAGCCATTGTAAGCAGACAAAACAGGATAAGGAATGAGAATACAAAGTATAACCCCATATACAGAGCAAACCAATAAGCATTGAACAAACCAAACACCAGATATTAACACGTATGTAATATGCACCTCCTCCTTGGAATTCTTGTCCAGTATAACGTCAAGCAGTACTCTGTAATCATCATCTACAATAAGCTCCCAGTTATTTTCATATAATTTTATAAGTTCCTTAAGCGCTGCCTTTGTTTTGGCTCCCGAAATGCCATAACGCTTCATTACACGACAGGCATCTGCAATTGTGTGCTTTTTTGGTGGCATCACTGAGTTAAAGTTTTCCGATAGGTCAATCTGCTGGTGTGTCCCTTCCCTTTCCTTCATATGCAGAATAGTGGAATAAGTGACAGGTATGAATCAACAAAACGGATCCAAAATTGGAAAATTATTTATTAATATTCCACTCATGGTGGACTGAATTATTATGCAAGCAATGAATAACACCACTGTCAACAAAATGAAGCAGGGAACTAGGAAGCCAAGAAAACCCAAAAAATTTAACCAAGGTGTGATCACCATGGATGCCATCAGAACAAAAATGAATCATCTTATATAACTGTAGTAATGCTATCACTGGTTGTCCATATCCAGCATAAGTAGATGCTTTAAAAAGAAAAATAATTAATTTTGAAATTCAGATCAGCTAGTAAACCCACATAACTAACAGGACAGCCACTGCCCAAATTTCCTCACATGGGTTAATTATATTAAAAATTGAAAGACTAAGGCTTAATACTACCACCCATGTTTAACTCAGTCAAAGGAAAAGGATTCAATGTCTTCTTGAAAACTTAAAAAAAATTCTTTATTTTAGACATCAGCTTGCGTTCTACATTGACAGCAGAATATTATTTAAGGAAACCTGAATTTTGTAAATCTTACTCAAATAAATAATCAAAACAACAACAATAACAAAAGCACACGACTAATGGACTCATAAACATCCCCCCGATCAATATGTACAGTAAACAAATAAAGCAGCAACATTTGAAACAGTGAGAAATTAAGACAAACAGGAAACTGGCAAAAGGCCTCTTCTTTCAATAGTACACAGGACAAGTCCTATATATGCATAAGTGATGGAGGTAAATTCGAGGCTACAACAGTCCATCATCATCAGCAAACAAGAACACATCCAAAACATGATGCACAACCCAAATGCAAAGACCACAGATAACGTCAAAAACTTACAGTCACAGAGAGAGAGAGAGAGAGAGAGAGAAAGCGGGGGAAATGAAAGGAAAGTTGAGTGTGCATTTCTCATTCTCTTTGCAGCAGAGAAAACAAACAAAAAAACAGTCTTGGGTTTTTTGTTTCAAAAGAGAAAAAATTGAAGCTGAATAAGAAAAGCAATAGGTTGAAGCTAAAGAAAAAACTGATGAAATACAGAGCAAAATACCCGAAAAGAGAGAAAGTAAGATCTTTTATATTAAAGCATCAGAAATGAATAGGAAAAATGATTACTTGACTCGCAAGCTAGTTAGAGAAATCGAAAAACAAAATAAGAAAATAGAAATTTCCCATACAGCATTCACCCAAAAGAAATAGCTAAATACAAGCATATGAAAGATACCGCAGGACATGTCACACTAAACCAAAATTTTCAAAACACCTTCTTTTTCTGCTTTCAAAAGCATATCTAAAATCATCTCCCCTAAAAACAAAAAAAATCTCAAAGACTCGTAAAAATCTCAAACCTGATCATATAAAAAAGTCACCTTTCACCCAGGTGAGAGTTGCTAAACAGATAAGATGAAATGGGAAAATGTTCTTAAGGCCTTCAGATCTATGCCACTCAAAAACCCATTTTGTTTTCTTGATCCTTTTTGGAATTTTCTTTACCTTCTCTTCTTCTTTGATAGTGAATAAAAACAGAGAGAGTGATAAAAAATGTAGCTACATTTCGTGGTATGTAAATATATACCTCTAAGACTACAAGACAGAGCTGCTGTGCTGGTTTGAAGACCAAAGGTCCAAGAAGCTGTAGGGAGCTCTAGGGTTTTTCCATCTCGTACGGTCGAGTGAAAAAGTTGGAGGTGAAAAGCTCCCTGGCCTCTTCGCCTTCTTTTGTACCCCAAAATCAAATGCAGACAAAAAAGTAAAAAAAAAATATCTTGAGCAAAGCAAAAATGATAACCTCGTGCTAATATCAAAATAACCTCCTGCTAAATAATTAATTAGGGAGCTTCTAGATTCTCGGGATGATGTTATTTAGACATATTTAATTGTCAACCTCGTCCCAAACCTGGAGTGTGGGACCAAAATGGTCAAGCCTTGCCACGTGTCACATAATCAATTTGAAAAGAGTAAAAGGTCAAGATACGCCTCCATCCTGGAGTGCCATATGGCGGAGAACAATTGTGCCACGTGGACGTACAATTGGTCAGCCAACAAGAGGCGAAGGGATCATGGGCTTGGAAGTTTGCCTCTTAAATATGGGTCATAAGGCCCATTTGTGTGACTAAAGCCCAATCCAGGTATAAAAGAAGTCCAATCCAACACAGATAAAGGGACTGATTTATGAGGCTAATTTTAGTCACAACCATCCGTCAGCTTGGTACTGCTTTTATATGTAATTGGTTTATAATTTTTTTTTAGTGATATTCTACTTTAATTTAATCTAAATTATAGGGAGGGAATTCGAACTCGGGTGCAAAGTGGAGAGCATATCCACTCTACCCAACTTAACTAAGCTCATATATGTTGTTTATAAACTTTTGATTAGAAAAAACTTTATTAGAACACGGTGAAATTTTTTATACAAAAAATAAGTGTGCTTCTCCAAGAAACACGTTTATGACTCGAACTTTTAGCCCTTCTAAAACATAAAAGGAAAATGAGGATGGAATGATGAAAGAATAGTATGGTAATTTCACAAAAAAAGAATAGGAGTCATTTGAGTAAATATTTATCAGAAAAATGAAAATGAGAGGAAAGTAAGAAGCAAGATGGTAAAGGGGGAGAAAAATGGTCGGATATATCTATTTATTTTCTTATCCTTTTCTATAAACAATTTGTTTCTCATTTCTTCATTTACTTCTAAGGACAATGCTTTCCATCTTTCTTTTTTCGTTTTCAACTTGTCGTTGTAACAGCGTTGTAGGTGGGCAACCATTTCTCTTTTCTCTAGTCTATTCAAAACAACCATGTCAGAAAGAATGAAACAAGAAACGCAAACGTTATCAGACAGACTAAAATGAGTCTCAATTTGCATTTACAGTGGGTTTTTTTTATAAAGATTGAATGACTCAGGTACTGGGACAAATATCAACCGCTTAGAAATAAAGTAAAGGCATAACATGCCAAGAACAACTTCTGTCAGGATTCAAAACAAACACAAATTGAAACTGACATAGAAGCAACCAATGATGCACCAAAACTTCACCAAAAGAGCTCCTCACAAGTTTAAACAAAAATGGAAAAGCAGCCTGCAGACAAAATCAAATTCCATCTCTTTCCTGAAACACCTTGCTTGCCTGGTTTAACCAAATACTTGCAGTTCAATCATCAATCTCTTTCAACCCCATATCAATATGGAGGCAAATAACCCCGCATCTGTTAAGCCTTCCATTCGGTTTGACCACAATTTTACCAGCCCTGTGATCAAGATACTCAAACACTTGTACTTATGCATCTGTATCACCACAAGAAACGTGACAGTCATCATTACAATACCAGCGAGGGGAAATTTTCTTAAGGAAACTGTCAGCCATGAAATATGCCAATATACAAGTTTAATGTTCAGATTATTAGTTAAAGTAGATCAGCAATTGAGACATTTTACAGTAATCCAGAATTCTTGACCTGCTTCTACGTAGAACTATACGAATGAATTATATGAAAGAACTTTCCACTAACCTTAAAGTAATCACTCGCAGGGTAGGAGTGAAACGCCTGCTGGAGAATGGTTACCTGAAATTTACTCCCATATACTTCCAGTACAAGGTCCTGCATACATGCTTGACCCCAAAAATAAAAAAATAAAAAATAAAAAGGTCCGGCATACATGATGATTTGATAATACTTTTACAAAGTTAAATATTTTTCTTGTTCTTTTCCCCTTTGTATGTGGATTTATTGTACTGTCCACTATGGTTAGTTTGCTTTTCTCATCATTTTTTTCTTATTTTTCTCTATCTTGGCTAGGAAATTTGAAGTTAAACAAACATGCTTCAGGCATGTTTGACGCGTCTAATTAAATTGCCACCGTCATTTATAACTGGTCAGGTCCATGGTTTAGAGGCTATAGGCTATAGGTAAGTTTCTAACTTTATCTTCTGATTATGAAGAGGACTACTACGATTATTTAGTCTCAATCTCTTCTCTATCACTTTTTATAGCTAAGCTAGACAACTATGTTTGAGTATATGATGAACACCTAGTGGGTGAACAAAATATAAGACAATCTAATATGTCAAATGTAATCCCTGTAATTAAAACATGAAAACAAAAGATAAGATCCAGGAAACTTACTTTGTGAGCACTAGAATGATGTATTCCACGCATGAACATGGTCATGAACGAACTAGCGGCGACCAGAGCAAGCATGTTAACAAGCTGCAAATCAAACGCTCTAAAGCTGGAGTGGAGGTATGCAGAAGATGAAAATTTTAAATTATGATAGCAGGGTTTGGTCTAAGAATTAAATTCCAGTTCGGATTGATCTCAGCAAAATTATTAAAATGCCAATTTCAGTGTTGCTAATTGCCCTCAAGATGATTTGCTATCAATTTAATTATATCAAAATCTCGTACATTCAATACTAATGAGCAGATTACAAGCGTTTCTGGCCTAAGAATCAAGGGACTAAATCCCAACCAATACAAACTAACCTAGAATCAGAAAACTGTCTGATATCACTGTATCAGGGTAACTGAAGTAAACCATAAAACACAACAGAAAACATCTGGATTCCAATGTATACATACATATATAATTTAAGTTGCCCACTGCTGTATACAGTATGAGAGTTACAACTACTACACAAATTTCAACCCTGGATTTTGGTACTTAAAACTCCTGTACATTTTGGTCGGAGAGTGGGACTCTGTGTATGGATAATTGCTACTGCAATTGAGAAGGACTGCAGAATGGACATAGTTGGTTGAAAATGAACAAAATATAAACCATCGTGGACATTCAACATCCTGAATGTGGGAGGGCCATGTTCTGAACCCTGAAGAATTGAAATGGGAGAAAAGCATCTCAATACATATTCAAATAATTGCATAAATGCTCAAAAGTTAAGTACGAATAGATGTAAGTATGTGACAAATTGTTCCTGGATAATTTTTAACATCAACTAACATTCTGTAGCCTTGCAAAGAACCATACAGCTTTAGCATCACACAAAAATATGCTCGAAGTATAAAATACCATGTTTCAGTTCCCATCAGGTAAGTCATAAAAAACACTTCATCCTTCGTTTTCAAGCCAAAAACAATATTATTTTCCAGATTCCGAGATCTTATGTCCAAAAACATTAACTCATCAGATCAAGCACCGGATACACAAATTTTGTAAACATGTATGGATGTAGTCAATTTTAATACTTGCTCAACAACATTTTGTATTTCACTTTGTAAGAAACTAAAGGGGGAAGGGAGTGAGGTAGGAGATTGGCATACCTTTCGATTTAAATCAAATGACTTGCACTCGCCCTGAGTGTCCGATTGAGGGAAAATGTCTTCTTTGCTTGATTTGGTTTGAAGTACTGTGAGTGGGCACCCCAGATCCCAACCTCCACAGTCACAATGTCCACCAGATCTCCATCTTTCAGTAAGACTTGAAACACCACCATTTCTGGTTCTTGGCCCACCATGAAGACCTGCTGGGATTAGAACATCCATACTGGTAGAGCAATCACCATTATTTCGACAACATTCGATAGGTACTGAGGCTTCCACAGTAGCAGTTTTCTTGACTCCAACTTTCTTTAAAAATTTCAAACCCCAACCTCCAGCCTCCTCCTTACGATCATCAGGGAGATGGTCTTTGACAACAATGGCAGCCAATTCAAAATTTGGAGGGAGATGATCTTCTAATAAATTGGGCAGACCTAGAGCATCTTGATTGTTGCCTGTATCTAGGCACGACTCCCGAGAAGAACTTTCAAGTTTCGAAATTGGTCCACTCAATTTGGAGGAGGTTTTTTGTTTGGACGAATGACCTGACCTGAATACTTCTGCCACCTTCTTTGATAACCCCTTACTCTTCCTGAGATTATGGCTAGAAGTATGCATCTCAATACCACCACCAAACAAAACAAACTCAGTCTCCATGATCTTTGAATTGTTTGAGCAGAGCGAGACCAAATTATTCACTTTCATCTTACCAACGAGCTGTGACTCACCATCTCGAATTTCATGGTCCTTTTGCCCACCCTTTCCTGAATGGAACAAGTATACATAGTCCAGAGTCTTATCTTCTTCAGACTCAACCTTCCACAAGTTGGCTACATAGACCTCCCTTTTTTGATCTGTGGAGAAAACAAAATGAGGATTCCCTCCCTTCCATGTGCATTGAAGCATTCCTTGAGAAACAGTGGCGAGAGCAGAAGCAGAAGATTGATCAGAACACACAGAGTTTGTACTACACAGAGAAACAAACCTTTTGTGGCCAGTATCAGATCCATTTTTATGGCTTCCCTTATTTGGTGTTTCCTTTTCTAGCACCGGTGAAGAAGAGAAACTTAATCCACCAGGAGATTCTGTAAAATCATAGCATATTGAGCCTTTCACATCATTTGTATTAATTCTTGTCAAGTCTGTATTGCTACCGAGGGGACCGAATTGGTGGAACAAAGGGCTCTTTAATATATTCACCATGCTCTTGCTCCCCATAACTGTACCTACAATCCACTGTCCTGCAGGGCCTATCACTACACTCCCACCTCCAGCTGCCAATGGACATTCTAAAACAAACCTAGTAGAATTACATGTATCTCCACTTCTAACTTTAGCCACATTCAAGCTCTCAGGCAAAGCACCAATCTTTGTCGAGCTCAAATTCACAACTGCACTGCATCGGGTAGCTTTGGATGCACTAATATGAATCAATTCCATGCAACGACGACGAAATTTTTCATCTAAGCTCAGTATATGTTTTGGAATCCTTCTGTCCAAGCCCAGAGCACTTGGAAACAATGAACTTTTTGTGCAACATTTACTAATTTGTGAACACTTAACATTTGAAATTAGGGCATGCTGTGGATTTGACCATGTGACTAACCTTTTCAATTTTGACCCAGAGGATTTTAAAGTACCATTTCTTGACAATTCCCGCTCCTTGCTCAATCTATGCAATGAATCGTCTTGTCCCTGGTGATCTTTCTGAGCATCTACTAACTTATCATCCATCTGCTGACCCCAATTAAATACCACACATTAATGGCAGCTAAGTTTTTCCCTATATTTTGCTTCAAACCGAATTATATAGACTTGGTGGTAGACAGCCTTATATAACTGTCCAATTCTTATCTTGCAAGAAACCTGAACACAAACACAAGCGGTAAGCATAAGCTATCAATTTGCAAATTTAAGATGACATCAATTGGAAACTTTGAAGTTTGTCCAACCCAGAAGCTACGGAGATAAGTCCAGAAATTGATCGAAGCTGTCAAAATCAAGCTTGGGAGATTGTTTTCAAAATCTGAAGCGTGAAGCATTAGGCTCCAGGCACAATCATAAAAAATAAGCTTGGAGGTTTTTATTTATTTGTTGTGCTATCAAAACCAACTGCAATTATATCTTCCACAGTTTTCTAACTTTCCCTTGGTGACTTAGATACAGTTTCTCCCTAACCCAAAACAGGAACACACACAAATAAATCTCCCACCAACCCAACATAGCTCCTAATTCAGTAAAAAGAAAGTACTTAATTCCTAATTTCCATCTGTTTATAAATTTCTCTAAGAACTGAGAAAGAAGAAGACAGACAAAAAGATTTGATCTTTATACATCTTAACTCCATATAAATAAAACCCAGAAAGGAAAATCCAACACAACATTAGAAAATCACAATTAAACCAAGAAAGTGGCCTATGATAAAGATGAATAAAATATTTTAAAAAGAGGCAGAAAGTGGCCATAAAACATAATAAACAGACACCCAGAAGAAAAGTTCAAACAATGTAAAATATACATAAAAAAAAAAAACTAAAAAGACCAATTTTTTCTTTTTCTCTTACCTTAGGAATTGGATCCAAGAAGAAGCAAGCAGCTTATTTGCAATGCATTTAACACTGTTCTTACTCCTCAAACTTTGAGCTTGTTGTCCCAACCGCACACTTTAAACACAAAGAAGACTGAAAGGTCAAATGGGGAACCACCAAAAAGAAAGTAAAGGAAAAAAGGTGGCCAAGTGAAGAAGAATAAACAACCAGCTAAGCACATGGAAAAGCAAAGATAAGCAAGAGCCACCACCACCACTACTAATGAGATCACACGTCTCACAATTCTAGGTTCCAAGCCATCTGTTTCTTTTCATTTTCAAGAAAAAATTACAACTGTTTTTAGGCAACATTGAAGAAAGAACGAAAGAAATTATGAGAAATGCCTGAAAAAAAAAAAAAAACTGAACTTTATTTGTTTTGGGTCTGAAAAACTGAAACAAAAAACCCTCTGAACTGAACCAAGAGGCGTGGTGGGGGATGAAGTGGGTTTAATTCGTAAGCCACGTTTTCTGGGTTGAATTTGGGTACTTGTTTAGTTCTACCGAAGTCCCGGGTTCAACTGTGGCGGGCCCCACCTCATATTCTTGCATTTTCTGAGCCACTACATTGACAAAGAAATTTACACAAAAGTAGATGCTTAACAAAAAGTTTATAAATTGCGTGCCTTGTTGATTTTATGTTAGAAGAAAACTTACCCAATATATTCACGGTTGAGGAAGAACATGTCGCATTGTTAACCCTATCTTTTGATCATTGATAATGTGAATTTTTATCCCAACGTGTAATCCGCAATCATGACAATATGAAATGTAATGAGTGCTAGTGGCCTTACTAGTTTTTGTTTTTTTATCTATTGAGTTGGATGATTAAAACATAGACATCTTTCAACATTGAGAATATGCCTATTTGGAATTACATTTATGGAAAACATTTTTGCTCCTAAGCGTTTTTATTAAAATTGCTTTTATTAGAAGAGTGTTGAAATTTTTGTTATAAATCCAATTGTAAGTGTTTCATGAAGAAGCACCTTCTCACTCTTATGCAAAGGTAGATCGGTAGAAGTCATATTTTCTTCAGATCTGTTATGAATGCGATGGTGAGTGTGGCCGTGAGGGCACTTCTTTAGGTGGTAGTGATAGGGTTCGTTTAGACTCATATGTTGATTTAAGGTTTTGGTTATGTTGGGTTTATGGGCTTTATTTGGATTTATGATTAATTGTAGTTATGTGAGCTGGTAGTTTTAGTGCGGTTTTTGTCTGCGTTAGTTTTGTTTTTAGCATTTTAGTTTGTTGCCTTCTTGAAATTGGTATTTTAGATATCTTGTTGATGTCTTGATTATACCGTTGAAATTTATTTAATGAAGTTTCTATTTAATTTTAAAAAAAATGAAGCACCACCTCCAAAAAGTGGTTTTATGAACCCAAAAGTACTTTTAAATTGTTATATCAAACATAGTCAGTAACGTTTTCCATTCCAGAAGCACTCCGAAATTAATTAGTGATATTGGTCATTATACTAACAAAGAAATTTATCATATAAGATAAGACTTGGTATTGGATATAAAATTTTAAACACACACACCTTGCAATTAGCCAAAAGTCACAAGTAAAAAGTAATGTAATATTTTTACTTGAGAATTTGAATTGAAGATATAATATAATATACATTTTGAGTGTATAATGCGTACGAACTTATCTCTTTAGTATTGGTATATGGTTCAAAAATGAAGAGGGAAAAGGTTTAGAGGGTGAGCTGGTGCGCATGATACTGAGCCAGAGAACTCCACTAGTAGGTCAGGGTGGCCCCCACTACAAGTAGCCGAATAGGAGAAGGCCACATCAGCTAAATTGTTCACATTTTATTATTATTATTATTTTTTAATAATTATTATTGGGCAATTGGGTTCAAGTTCAGACAAATTTGGTTTGTTTTCATTGCTTTGAATTTTGATTGCCACAAGGCTACGACTTGGTCTCTTGGACTTGGACATGTGAAGAGAGAGAGAGAGAGCCATATAGCGTAGGAAATGATCAAATACAAACATACCTACACCTACATACATTACATTCTCTTATTTGTTTCTAATTTTTATAGTATTTATATTTATTATTATATTATTAATCAAGTTAGTTTCTTTAATGTGCTCATATTCTCCTCCCCTACTTATTTATTATGTAGGCGGCGGGTAAATTAAATCTCATCTTTCAACTCACTCAGAAAATCAGATCGGCCATCACCTCAAAAGATTTATTTCCAGCATTGAATGGTTGCAAGGTTGCAATCATAAAATTCATCATGGCTACTAAAAACCAAAACCAACCAAATTAATTATGGTTACCCTTGTCTAGATCTCTCCTAAATAATAATCTAATGTAAAACAGAGTGTGTTGTCTAAGAACTTATTTGAGGATCAACTAGTCTTTTGTGTAGCGGTAGTTGTCTCCGCTTAGTTAGAGAAGGTCTCAAATTTGTTTTACATGGATGCAAAAATGATATCTAGTTGTGATTGATCCATTATGGTAGTGTAGTTCTGTTGTTTATCTCGGTGTAAAAAATAATTTTTTTTTTGGTCAAACAAAAAGAACTAATTTGATGAGTAAAACTTCTCTATTACAACATATGATAGAGAAGTGTTTCCCTAGCTTTGTTTTCTTATCACCGACAGACAAATATTTGATGTTTGAACAATTTTTAATATTAGAAAAAGAAATACCATTAGACTAAAGAGAATAGCTAACTTGAATTGTTTGGTTAGATACATGTCTCGATAGCATATTTTCACCTAAAAGTGGTTTTTTTTAAAAAAAAAAATTGGGAGAATAAAAGCACAAATTTTTTTCCAAACCACAAAATGCATTTTTGTGAAGTTCAACTACTTACTACGAAAGTCGGATACAAAAGGTAAAAAAGAAAAGTGTTTTTGGGGAAGGAAAAAAACCCTTTCACTGTCTAAAACGTGCTTTTTTGTTGTTAAAGGCAATTTAGTCACGAGCAAGATTGATATAGTTAGTTGGTGGGAAGTTTTTCTTGTAATAGCAATAGATGGTGGTTGGTGGTCTTTAGACTAGGCTAAATTTTCTGCAGTGGAATTATGGGTAGTGAGTTATATGACAAATGAAATTGCTAACGGCATCCCCACTACCACTAGTAGAATTGGATGTTTGTGATTATAGACTAGCATTTTTCTATGGCATCTATCCTCCATTATCATTTGTGCATGGAAAAGCTTTTACATTTGCTCAATTAATCAATATATGATCGCAACCCTAAGGCACCATTATATGAAACTTGGTTAACAATTTCCCTGCAATATGATGATAATAACTATTTTTGTTTCCATTTGATTAAATCTAATACGGTTGTTAGAATCAAAACAAATAGAAGAGTTGTTTTTGTTGAAAAATTTGATTCGTTTAGAACCATATTAAAATCTCATATTAGATTTGTAACGAGTGATCAGTTGATATATAAAGAATTAGACCACGCACACTAATATCGAGACATATTGATTCAACCCCATATCCATTGAAAACTCGAATGACCATATCGACATATTTAGTGTGAGCTTGCGTAAGAATCCATACAAGTCTATGGACTCATCCACCGGCTTTCACACAATATTTCTTCCATCCAACAATATTCCCTGCAATGTGAATATTCAAATATTCAAATTTGGTAGCCGGCCTGGGGGATCAGTGGGACCAAACTGAATCTTAAATTGGGCATGGGCATGTGCAGGGCTAAAAATCTTGGGCAAATGCAGACTGAAATGAGTGAACCTGGTTTTAAAACATTGGTTGACAAATATGACATTGACAACAAAGTTTGTGTCTATTTAGGAGCCGTATAACCAACAAACCAGTTGAAAAATGAAGACATTTTGTCTGCGCTCTGTAAATTTTCACACCTAACAATTAACCGAACACCCGCTTTTTCGAGGTTTGTTTTTCATATGACTATTACACTTTCGTCGAAGTCATAGCATTTGGGCTTTGATTTTTTTGACCTCCAAAAGTATGCAGAAGAACCTAGGACAAACAAACAAGGCCCTTTTCTCACCTCAGTTCATTTGAGCAGCTTCTGAAAACCTGCATAACTGTCATTAAAACGTTTTGACTTTGTGTCAATTAATCTGTGAAGGATAATTTTTCTGGCATAACAAAAATAATGAAGAGAGGTGTCTTTTTTCTTTTCAATAGAAAGGCCCAATAAAATTAAGTTACTTGGAAATGGACCACCAATGTCCACACCAAATCCTCAACTCTCGGGCAGTACAAACATACCCAAATCCTCAACTCCATGCCTGACATGTGACTTTTTTAACGGAGATTTGGATGGAAATTACTAAAAACTAATGATGGGGGATAAATTGGCGATAGAATTTAGTACGAGTGCTAAATTGGCTGAAAAATTAATTCAGGGTGTAGATTTCAACTAGCGTGATAGTTTAGGGGGGGTATTCGGCAGTTTACCCACATAAAATTGTTCCACTGGTATTCAAGTAAAGATGCCATGAAAATGTACACCTTACAAGTTTGAAATTTGTACAAGAAATAGCATCACAAGAACTTAACATTGTTATGCACTTTTCTATACAGTCCTGACTCACTTATTTATTGGATAATATTAATGACCCAATTTATTGAATTTTTTTTTATTAAACCAAGGACAGACAAATCCTGGTGGAAACAGGGTCCTGCAAAATTGGTAGATTAATTAGTCTATGGCTAGTATACTACTCAAATCCACGATTGGATGGGATAGCTGCATTTGAAAGAGTTCACTCCACTGATATGAGCAAAGATATCTGAGGAATCAACCAAATCCTCTTCCTCTTTCACAACTACCTGTGAGATAACAGAATAAAAAGGACAACAAAACTTTGTAAGGCGACAAGACAATCAGAATAAGGAAAATGTAACAGCTTGAAAGAAAATAAAAATTCTTGGTAGATATAAGATGAGGCATATGTTTTAATAGTGTAAGAAGTATTACTTCATCGTCTTCGTCGTCTTCATGGTTGCTACAAGCAGGTCTATGAGTCTCTCCGAAGTCATCGTTCTTCGCAAATCTTCCTCTGACTCGAGGTCTGCTGTCTGCAAGTGTTTTGCGGCAGGCGTACTGCATATTTGCTTGCACAATTAGTGAGAGTTTAAATCTTAATCCCCTAGTATGAAGCACACATAGTGACATACATGCACATATGAGTAGAGGCAAATGCTTTTCACAAATGTTTTCCTCTTATAACTATATGTAAGAAGATACAATAGGATGGTGAAAAAAAGAAGGGAACCCTAGTGTGTGTGTGTGTGTGTGTGTGTGTTTGTGTTGGAGAGAGAGAGAGAGAGAGAGAGAACCTTGATTTTCTTGGTGAAATTCCTTTCATTCCTTTTCTTCATGTACCTATGGATTTTCTCTTTCCTTTCTTCAACAGAGAGCTTTCCTACTTTAAAATTTGGGTCTTCTGCTATTGGAATCTCTGTTGGTAAAGAAGTAGAATTCCCAGCTCCATTCACCAGTTGTTGACTCTCAGCACTAAGTGCCTTTCAAGTAGGAAAAAGATGAAAAATACACCAAAAAAGAAAAAAGGTTGCAGAGAAAATAACATTAGTCCCTTTCAGTGCACAAGAAAGAAAGTGCTTATATTCTTATTTTGATGCTAAGCCTGCTGATATTATTTGGCAAAGTTGAATGTGATACCACTTTTCCAGTCTCCATGCAGGTGATAAGAGTTTAAAGAGAGCAGATAAACAAGATTATACTTATATAGATGTGGCCCCTAAGAGGATTTATAGAAGATGATCATACGCCCCCCATCGATGCCTCCTAAATATGGAATTCTAAGTCTTTTGAAATTGACTCTAATGACCAATTAAAGCTCATGTGAGAGACAGGACTAAAATGAATTTTTAAGAGGGCAGGTGTTGAAATGTTGTGTTACTTCAAGTTCGTTTTTCAATTCACACAGATTGAATTAAACCGTTTATATGTGTTTCTTGCCAGAAAGAAATTAGCTATTCCATAAGATCTCTCTAAGCACTTATAAAGTACTAAAAGTTTCTAGCAGCGATTAGTACCTGAAGATCTTCGGGGTTAAAAACCCTCGGTAATGATTCTGGACAGAAAATTCCACCATTGTCTCCCTGATATTCCAAATCTTGCGGTTGAAGTTCAGAAGCCATAAGGATGCTGCTGGTGAAAATTCCAGAACTGTCAGCAGATAATGCAGCAGGATTTATAGTCCCAGCAGTCATGTATGGTGGTCCCATACCAGGACCAAGAAAAGAACAAGAAGGAGAAGAAGGGTTCAAAGGAACATAAGAAGGCACTGAAGACAAGCAATCCTCTTCAAAAACCGATGATAATGGAGCCGGCATAAGAGGCACTACAGGATCAGCAGAGTACTGAGAAAATCCCTCAACAACAGAATCTGCTAAGGAGATTTGAGGTGGCACTGAAGAGAAATCAAATTGTTCTTGTTGGGGTACAAGAAACGGAGGCACGGAAAAAGGAGGGGATTGAGAAAAATCGATGGAAGCTGATATGTCATTATCAATTTCTTCTTGGGAATCAAAGATTATGGAAAGATTGCCACTATTGTTGTTGGTGGTGTTGGTGACGGTGTTAGTGCTAGCGGCAGTGGTGGTGGTGTTGGTGCTTGTGGTTGTGGTAGTGGTGCTAGTTGTTGTGGGGGTTTGTGCAATGGTTGTGTCAGTATTGCCATTGTTATCCTGGTAGGTACTGAACTTAGTTTCTATGTCTGGGGGAAGTGAAAGATTTGTAGCAAAGGAGGAATTTTCTTCATAGCAGCAATTTGGAGAAGAAGTAACCTCTGAATTCTGTAGGGTCTCTTGGAATAGTTCAGGATCACAAAAATCAAAAATTTGAGCACTAATCTGGCTGGAAATTTCATCCTGCAAAACATCAAAGAGCAATGTTAACAATATGATTATTTGTCAAGATTACATGTAAACCTTATCATCAACAATAAGATTGTAATAATAAAACCTTTTTCTTTAGCCAACTAGGAGCATCATTCTTCATATTTTTGCAACCAATAAAATTTTATTATTGTTGCACAAGATTTTGACAGAGGCATGCTACATCTTATGACAGTAAATTTATATAACAACCTGTGTCACAGTAGAGCTTTCCCTCCCTCCATCCCTCTGTTTTTCTCTTCCTATATGCATGAAGTAAGCATATGAAAAGTATAAAATACAATGAGATAGTTTTCCCAGGTTTTTTTATGTGGTTTCCGTGGACCAATCTTCCATGTATATGTACATATATGATTCATGAACACAATGAGTTCTTTAAAGAAGGATGGTCGGGTGGTCGATTTTTTGTGCAAAGTAGGAAAAAGATGTGCATTTGTGCTGCATGTGACATGTAGGAAAAAATTTACCCAATTTCAGCTAGAAATCAATGGAGTTAACTAAGATGGAAGCTCATGGAATGTTAGTTTTGTTCAATTTATAGAAACGACTCAGTCCGAGCGAACAGTGAGAATTTAAAGGGCACTTGAAAGAACCAATTTATGTTATCCATGTGAAATGCTTGTTTGTCACTAGGCTCCTTTAACCTTCTAAACTCAAAAAGAATCAAAGATAGAAAAGCTTATGGGAGAAGCATAAAAAGATAAATATTCCCATTCTAATCAAAAGAAAAGTGGAAATTTACTAGTAAGGAAATTCAGGATTAGAATGCTAAGGTGATGGCACCCTAAGACAATGACAATGACAATGACAACTTTGTGGGTATTATTGGAAACAAGTTTGAAATATCTGCCAGGAGTGTGCATATGAAATAGCCTATATAAATGGCTCAATGAATGGTGGTACAAATTTGATGGGATTTGCTTGTGGATCATTCTATTTTGAGTAAAATGCCTTAACCCCCACAAATTCTTTGGGAGTTTGAGAGTTGAATCAAGTCCGAAACAATAAGCTCGTCGGATCAAATTTGTTCTTTTGTTCCAACCAGTGGCTCTCAAACTCAGAACATTCTGAATTGTACAAGAGCCAAGTATAAAGATGATGATGATTTATTATTATTATTATTTAAATTTGGAAATGTCAAAATCAAACAAGACATTCAACAAGAAATTTACACGCAGCTAGAAAGGAAGAGATGCGAAAGGGATTGAGCAGATGATGATGGTTACAGAAAGAGG